TAGAATAGAATAGAATAGAATAGAATAGAATAGAATAGAATAGAATAGAATAGAATAGAATAGAATAGAATAGAATAGAATAGAACAGAACATTGGCCAAGTGTGATTGGACACACAAGTAATTTGTCTTTGGTGAATATGCTCTCAGTGTACATAAAAGAAACGATCCATCCGTCAAGAGTCAAGAATCATAAGGTACAACACTTAATGATAGTCAGAGGATACAATCAGCAATCAAATCATACTAGGGAACAGTCCATATAAATCATAAGGATACAAGCAGCAAGGTTACAGTCATACAGTCATAAGTGGGAGGGGATGGGTGAAAAGGAGTGATGAGAAGATTAACAGTAATAGTAATGCAGACTTTGTAAACAGTTGGATAGTGTTGAGGGAATTATTTGTTTAGCGGAGTGATGGCGTTCGGGGAAAAACTGTTCTCGTGTCTAGTTGTTCTGGTGTGCAGTGCTCTATAGCATTGTTTTGAGGGTAGGAGTTGAAACAATTTATGTCCAGGATGTGAGGGGGTCTGTAGATATTTTCACAGCCCTCTTTTTGACTCATGCAGTATGCAGATCCTCAATGGAAGGTAGTTGTGGTTAGGGACCATAATTCAGTGGCAAAGAGCACAGCACGGAGAAGTTAATTTTGACAGAGAACTGCTCAGACATAACATCACTGCCCACATGGAACAGAACCCCACCCCCCCAAAAAAAGATATACTCCCACTGAGCATCAAAGTGCAAGAGCAGCCGTCAACCACTTGCATTACTTTCTCAGGTGAATCCGCCCTGCAAAACTACAGTGCAGACCAGTCATCCAGCCCACACATCCAAGGGTGGGGCTGGAGAGATGCAGATGTTTTCCTGCCAGGAACCACTAGGTGGCCCAGAAGCAACATCTTTGCTGCAGGGTTGCCTTAAAATATATATATAATAATAATCACACACCCAAGGGCAGGGAACTTGTCATCTTCCAAATGCTGTTGAACTTTCAGCTCCCAGCAGCTCTAACTCTCAAGCATAACAGATGGGATTGCAGGATCTAGAAGCCGTGGGATTTCCTATCCTGGCTACATTTATCCCCCACCATCCTTCTTGAGGCTCCTGCTTTGCTCATTGTCGCCCCACCTATGGTACCTCCACGGCTGACACCGTCACCTTTGGGAAGATACACTACTTTCAGGGTGATTTCTTGCAGCAGCCCCAAAATGGCCCTCTTTCACATAGGTCTCCGGTTGTTCAAAAAATCCAAATTGATTAGCCAGTGAAAGGGGCATCAGTTGCACGCCAGACCATTACTACACCTTACCTCCTCGTGCAATTTCTTGAGGAATTCAATTTCATCCATGAGGGACTCGATCTTGCGCTCCAGTTCCAGGCGTGAAAGGGTGGCATCGTCCACATCCTATCACAGGGGACAGGAGGGAGCGGGGTGGAGGGTGGGAAAGGAAGGAAGGAAGGCTGATCAGAATCCCAGCAAGTTGCCCGCCACTTTCCACGTTAATTTAAGGAGTAAAATGGGCAGCAGAGAATGGGAAGAGGGGTAGGGGTCGGCTGGCCTGCTCCTGGCCTGGGATTCCAGGGACAGAGCGTGCTTTCAGCACAACCGGGAGCTTACACAGCTGCCAAACAGAGATTTAAGCTTGCGGCTTAAAGCGTATGAACCCATGGAAACAAACTTGGATGCATGCATGCGTTGCCATGTAAACAAAACAAAACAGCATGGCTCTCTGCACGTGGCAGGGTGAATCTGAAAGGACCCGTGCAGGGAGGGGTGTAGTAAGGGGGTGTGAGAGCCAAGCATGCCATTCCCTCCTCTCGTGCTCTTCTATAGTCCAGAAGAGGCTTGGCTCACCTTGCGAAAGAGAACCAGGTTGTTTTCAGCATCTTCTCGCTTGTGCATTTCCTCATCCAGCCTGTAGAGGGCAGAGAGCAGCCCCAAAGCAGAAATTGGGCGAGAATGCTACGGAATTGGTCGTTTTTTTTTCATTTCGCCCACAACTTTTAAGCAAACTCAGCCCTAACCCACATAATTAAACACCTATTGATACCAGAAATAATATTCCATCTCTTCTCGGTTTTCCATTTTCAGGAACCAAACACAATATAACAACTTGGCAACTGTATTATACAAATCAAGATTCAGGCCGCATTCTGGCTTCTAGACATTGATCACACCTAATTTTTAACCTATGAATGTGATATTAAAAGATTACATAAACCTCTCTGCAACCTAAAATAACTGTTCTGTATCGTGGGCACTGTTAAAAATAAGTAACAACCATCTTCACAGATTCTCTGACCTCTAAGTAAAAAAGAAGAAAGCACTAGAAATGGTGGGAAAGAGCAGAGATGCAGCTGGAACGAAGTTAAGTAGTTTGAAATTTGATTTTAGAAACCATTGTGTGGTCCTTGCAGAATTAATAATCTATAAGACTATTTTGGGTAAAACCAAAGCATCTGAAAAATGTGGATTTTGGAGGGTTACTTCTTCTTTTTTCCCAAGAGGATAAGTAAGATGGGGAAGAACATATTGGAAAAGAGGGTGCACCCTAATAGTTTGTATGTCTAAAAGAGTCTAGCTGCCTCTCCTCCGACATTTGGCATCTAATGTTCATCTCTTCTTTCCTGCTTCCCACCTCCCCATCTGCCCCAGCACGAGCCCTGCCACTTGGAGGAGAACCAACCACACTTCACAATGCCCAAGGGAACACAGTCACGCTTCTCTTCCCCTTGAATATAAATATGTGTGAAAAAATAAATGAGAAAGCAGAAAAACGGTTCGGCTGAAAGAAAGCAGGCTCCTGCAAGGCCGCTGGCTCTCCCTTGTTACTGCTTGTCCCTGGAGTTTGCAGCCTGGCCGCCAATATTGCCATTGCTCTTTCCTTTGCCAACTTGCATTGATTCCTCCATGTCCTCTGACAGCCATTCAGAGAGGTCTCCAACAAGAGAGGGGCTCCTCTGCTACATCCCTTCCCTGGGCTTCCCAGATGTCATCAAACCAAACAAGGGGTGGAGTTCCATCTGGACCAGAAGGTTCCTCCCTCTTCCCACTTCCCACCCTTCTCTCCCGCCCCGCTCCATATTTAGCCCCGCCTCCTCTTTTCCAGACGCCTGGTTTTCTTGCCTTGCTGCCCTTTGACAGCCTCCTCCTCCTCCCCATCACGTCATGTCTGCCAGACTCATCCCCACCACACCCAGTACTCCCCCATCTCAAGGACCTCTTTTCTATGCACAGCACACCTACTCCATCTGCATCTTCTTTCCAAGGCTGGGCAGCTTCCACTTCAACCCCTGAGACCCTAAAATTCTTCATTATGGTCACACAGGGTCTGCGTGACCATCATCATCATCATCATCATCATCTTCCTAAATGCAACAATTTGAGAGACCCAGAATGAGTCTGGGACCCAGCTACCCACAAAGGAAAGTCTTTCCATGACAGCTTTCAGAGAGCAGCTTACTTTTGCTTAGGAACACAGCCCAACTTTTTTTCTGAAGGCAGGAGATAAACTGGATTCCTGACCCAGGGGATCCAAATCATTAGATTCCTTGATCACCAGAGAGGATAAAAGGCTACAATGCAAAGACACCAGTCTTCTGACTCTTCTGCAGTTATTCTTTTATTCGGGACTATAATACACATTTGCTTTCTATATACCCCCAGGCAGCAAAGAAAAAGAATCCATTATTATGCATCCATTATTCATCAGGCATACATTATTCGGCTCCTACTAACTTATTCATCATGTTACAAAGTGCAGAGAACCATTTTTATTTTATTTATTTTTTTTATAGTTCGCTTTTTATTTTCCCCTGGGCCCTTCTCAGGGCCAGCTGATCTCTCAGGTAATCGATCACCCTTTTCTTGGGAAGTCATCCCAACTCCTCAGCTAATGACCCCTCACTGGCAAGAAATCCTTCCTTTTCTTCAAGACAGTTACCTGAGCCTTCTGAATTTGGGTCTAGGAAAAGCACTCTGCGTATGCTCCAGAGACATGATCTTTTAGCAAGCTGGACAGGTTCAGCCCAATTTAAAAAGCCGGCGTTCCCTCTCTATCGGACGGCCCAATGTAAGAGACCGAATTTTCTAGATTTTTAACCCATCTGCCCCCCACCTCTCTTCTAAAACCGGACAGGGAAGCTCCAAAGTTTCGTGACATTCCCCGGATCCGGGCAGGACCGGGCCACCCTTGGGATTTCCCCACCGCACTACCCCCCACCCCGAGTTCTCCAGCGCGGGCTCGGTTTCTGGGGGACTCACCTCTGCTTGAGGGCGGCCAAGTCCTCGGCCAGGTTGTCCCTGTCGACTTGGAGGCGGTCGCGGTCCTTGCCCAGCGAGTCCACCTGCCGGCGCAGCTCGCGTAGCTCGTCCTGGAAGAGGTCGGAGGCGCGGGTGGGCTCCTTGGCGCGGGACTGGCCCAGCTCGGTCAGCAGGGCGGCGTTCTGCGTCTCCAAGTAGCGCACCTTCTCGATGAAGCTGGCGAAGCGGTCGTTGAGCTCCTGCAGCTCCTGCTTCTCGTTGCTGCGGGTGGCCAGGAACTCCTGGTTCAGGGCATCGGCCACCGAGAAGTCTAGCTTCTCGGAGCTGTAGGCGTAGCGCTGCGGCGGCAGCTGCGAGGGCGCCAGCATCCCCGGCGCGCCGGTGCGCAGGAACAGGGCGCTGCCCCCGCCGCCGCTCCCGCGGTAGGAGCGCAGGGAGGCTCCGGCGGAAGGCATGCTCAGCAGCCGCGTGGCGGAAGAGCCCGAGGCCAGACGGGACGAGGTGTAGGGCATCGGCGACAGCATGGGCGACGGCCCGAAAGTGCGGCGGTAGGAGGTGGCGCGGATGGTGCTGGAATGGCTCATGGCTGCTAGCTGGGCTGGGCTGGGCTCCGAGCAGGTCCGAGCAGTGGGCGGCGGGGAGCAAAAGGCGATGGGTCCGGGGATGCTGCTTTATAAACGATCGGTCGGGGATTGGAGGGGAGGGGGAAGGGCTGGGGGGGTGAGGGGAGCGACAAGCTCCTCCCCTGCCTCGCATGCAGGCCAGAACTCCGCACTGCAGCCCGTCGACGGTGGGGTGAGGGGTGGGGAAGGGAGCCACCCAGCCAGCCACCGCGTCCTGCCAAAGGCTGCTCGCTCCGGACGGGAGAGGAGGAGGAGGAGGAGGAGGGCGATCACGCCTTGCTCCATCTCCCATCCAGGCGACCCGGCCCACTCTGTGTAAGCCGGACGGCATCTGGTGTCCGGTGCCGCCCGCCAGAAGCGCCCCCGTGACGGCGCGGCGCTTACTTGTGAGTAAGTGTCCGCTGGGTTGCCTCTGTTGACACACACACACACACACCGATTCGCGGGACGGGGTTTCCTCTTTTCTGGAAAAGTGGGGGGAGAGAGAGTGTTATGCGGTTATTGGGCGCGGGTGTGGGACTTGCCCCATCCTGACAGGAGGAAGAGCTCCCGACATCTCTTCCTAGTTCTGGGGTTGGAAACAAGACGCAGCAGCTGAATGAACGAAGCCGGCGTTTTGGGGCAGAAGAGCAGGGCAGAAATAAGGTGGCATTAATACTACTGAACCTGTATCTTAGCAGGGAGGCGCGTGGGGGGGGAAGAGCTTTCCATGGATCCCTAAACCTGCGGGTTTACTTTTAAAAAGAAAAGGCATCATAGGTAGCATTGGGATCGCCCATAATCATTCTGCAGTAGAAATTGTACCCTTTTTTAAAATACCGGAATATTCTGCTCCGGAATGGGAAATGGTGTGTATTCTGTTCCAGAAAAGGCACAGCCGAGAGTGAAAAGCTGGGCATGACCTAATCCTTGAGAAAGGAAGCACTTCAGCAAGTCCCGTCTTTCAAGGCTGCTTCTTTTTTGCCTCCTCCGATGATTTATCTATCTGCTTCTTCGCACATTGTGTTTTCTGCCTTTGCCTGCCCGTCAAATAGCTTCCCAGGAGCTATGGCAGAAACGGCTTCACCCTCAGTCAGGAGAGAGGCTGGGGGAGTCACGACCATGTTTCACCATCACTTTGAGAAAGAGGTTTTGCTCACGGGCACTGCATGAAACTCTGGACATGCATTCGGTACACACAAAAGATGCAAGTCATGGGCAATGCAGATAACTGAACTTCTACAGCACACACCCACCTTACCGGAGACAATCACATATTATATATTGGGGTAGAGAGATCAGGTCTAAAAGCTTTTCTCCTCCCCTCTGGTGGCTGCGGAAAGAAATTGCAAAAATTGAGATTTTTTTTTTTTTTTAAATGGAGAACTTGGCACATTATCCCAACCTAGATAGGTTTTTTTTTTCCCTGTCTCACTGTGTGAGATAGGATGGACACACCCACGCACATGATTGCTAGATATACTATTATCCCATACCTTTCGATACTTGTTCTTGTGTGGGCTCTTCGGTGCTCTCTGAGGCTAGTTGTTTTCTGCAGACATTTCATTACCCGATTGTTTTACTGTACACTGCCCAGATACCCCCTGTGAAAGAGGTGGGTGGTTCTAAAATATGACAAATAAATAAAATCAAGTCACATCATCAGTGCTCGAAGGGAGTGGGGTTGCTCTTTGTTTATATGAAAAGAGCAACGAGAAAACAACCAAGCACCAAAGAACCCCTGAGCTGCAAATACTCCCTTCTATGGAAGGGTTTGTTTTCTTGTTTTCCTATTCCTGTGTGTTTGCTGCTCATTTCTTGCCAGGGGCCTTGATGCGATGATGAAACTGAGGCTGGGCCTTGTAGCCAAAGCCCAGGACCTGACAACTTCCAGATTTATTTATTCAGTTCTCAGGAGATAGGCTTATAATTCTGGGCAACTTCCAGCAAACACAATAAAATAGTAATAAAAACAAATTATTAAAAGCACTAAATCTTAATAAAAACTGTTGCTATGATCCAGCAAATCTGAAGCTCTCCTGAAGAGGATCTGTTTTGCTATTATGAGAAACACCACCATGAATAAGGACATATCTGACTTCAGGTAAATAAGCTGAACCAGAGAGAAGGTTCCATTGCAGAGAATATTGTTCCTCCAGGTCCCAGCCCCCTCACACCCTGAGGAAAAGTACCCAGAGCATCCTCTTTACTGAGTGGTGTACAGTGGGGGATTGTATGTGAAGAAGATGCTACTGAACATAACAAGGGTCCGGTGCATAAGGGCTTCGTAAATAATTGGCAGCACTTTGAATTGGGGCTGCAGTCTTATCAACAGCCCATGCACTTTCTGCAGAATGTCATTCTGCTAAACTAGCTAATGCTGCAGCTTCCCAGTCATCATCAAGAGCAGTTCCACATAAAGCAAAGTGTAGTAGTCTAGCAGAAATAGATTTATAGTGCCTTCTGGTCCAGGACATAGTGCAACTGATGGGTACACCCCAGTAGAGGGATTCAAAAATGTTTACTACCGGTTCTGTGGGTGTGGCTTGGCGGGCATGGCATGGCTTGGTGGGCATAGCAGGGGAAGGATACTGTAAAATCTCCATTCCCTCCTCACTCCTAGGGGAAGGTTACCACCAGTTCTCCAAACTACTCAACATTTCCACTACCGGGTCTCCAGACTGGTCAGAACCTGCTGAATACCACCTCTGATACACCCAACTTTGGTCAAAGGCTCTCTCTGGCCATATTTTTCATCTGCTATTCCAGCAGAAGCTATGAATCCAGAAGAACCTTTGGCTCCCTCAGGTGTCATCCCATCATCCTATCGTTATAGATGGAACATCCATGACAGTAGTGGGATTCAAATTTTTGTTACTACTGGTTCTGTGGGCGTGGCTTGGTGGGCATGGCAGGGGAAGGAGACTGTAAAATCTTCAGACAGAGATGGTATTTGCCAGTCTGAACTACTCAAAATTTCCGCTACCGGTTCTCCAGGACTGGTCAGAACCTACTGAATTCCACCTCGATGTCAAAAGGTTTCTGAATCACTAAAAACTTTGTATTTGCAGGAATATGCCCTATCTGATCCCTGGCAACCTCCAGATGAAGACCCTGAGGACTTTTTCATATCTCCTGTTTAGTCTGAAACAGGTAGTCCTTGACTTATGACCGGTCAAATTTACAACCTGGCTCCAAAGTTCTAGTGGCTGCTCCCTGCCAAGTCATATGACTACATTTTGGGTGCTCAGCAACTGGCTGCATTTATGGTGGTTTGCAGCATCTCACAGTCACATGAATGTGATTTACAATATTTTTGCCCAAAAGCAGCATTTACTTCCAACATGGCCAATAGTGAACAATAGATTTGTGTAATAACCTTCACTTAGTCACAGTCACAAAAAGGTCATAAAAATAGGTCCAGTCACATAGTGAATTGCTTTATGACTCTCATGACTATAATGGGCAAGATCCATTATAATTATGAGTTGAGGACTAACTGTATTATCAACCTATTCATGATTTCTAATTCCAAAGATGTGGATGGCCTTTCCCAGAGTTTTAATGTTAGATGACAATAAAATATTAGAGAGGGCCAAGTCCTGGAGCATCCCATTTTGAAGTCCCAAGGACCTGACTTCTCCTTATCAACTTGGAAAGAAGAGTAAAATGGGCCTTCAATTCCCAACTCTCACAGGCAGTCCAAGTTTACCAGAACCAATGCTGATGGTTTTCATGAGCATGCTGGGATCCACTCTGGCCAATGTTATTCACCACAGCTTTCTTCCTTTGTACTTTTTTTAAAAAAAAAACATATTTCTAGATCAGGAATAGCTAGGCAGAAAATATTTGTACTGCATTCTGTTCGATTCAGTTCACTTAACTATAGTCATTTTCTACAATAAAGCGTTCTTACTGCCAAGTAAGTAAGTTTTGGCCAGCAGAAAACTTGTCATTCTATTTTGAATTCACTTCATGACTAAAAATGAATTTAAATGGCAAAAACACGCATACTCAGATTATCACTTTTTATCAGTGGTGGGGAAAAAGATGGCACTTGCTTTAATAGCTAAAAACTTACAATAACGCTAAAGGACCATGAGGTCAAGAAAGGGAAAAGGCTGAAGTAAAATGTGCTTGACACACAAATAACCCACTGAGCATTTAAACAGCATTAATCCAAACTTTAGAAATCCCTTGAAGCTCCCATTTTGAAGTCTTTTTCCATCTAAAAATAATTTTCTGCATCTGCATACAAGAAAGTCTAGAAAACCTTGATCTGCCTCGGTTTGCTTTCTTTCTCGGCAGTTTGCACACAACCATCAGTAGTACATTCTGCCTATATACAACAAGGAAGGACCTTATGGCACTATGAAGACTATCAGATCAATGATGACATAAAATAATGTGCTCAGTGGTGGTGCAAGGAGAAAACATGCTCCCTGTGACAATTCAGTTAAGGTTACAGCTTAAACATGTGATTTTTCACAGCTTGTACTGTGGCTTTCCTCAGCACAAAGATATTCCTCATTTGTCTTAGGCTGTTAAAATGATACCCTGATTCTTGTCAGCAAATACTGTTTATGTTTCCAACCATCCTCAGCTTTCACAGAGTTGTGACCAACGTTTCTAGATTACATCAAATTTTACAGCATCACTCTAACTCATCCTTTATCTCGTTTTGGCCTTCCTGCTCACCCACATCCTATCTCAAGTTATTCCTGCCAAAAAAAAATGAACCTTTCGAGTGGAAATTATTGTGCATAACAAATTACTGTACACACACATGCATTTTTTACAAGGGCCCTTTGTAGAGTTTTACATTGTAGTGTTGGTTTTGTGCCTGATCTCTCATGGGGAGGGACAGGCCCTTGCATTGCTGCACATCAAGCTCCTTTTCTTGTGATTTTAATCCTAGTTCTAGGGACGGGGTCTTCAACTTGCCACATTTGGGAAGGAGAGTAAAAGGTGGCTGAGGAATT